AATTAATTATATCATCTTAACCATCCAAGGCTGTAAAAAAAACAACATGCAGCAAATGCATTGAGAAACAGAAAATATGTTGAATGTTGAATTAGGAATCGACATCACAGCTTTCGGGACACTCCTATAAGCGCTCCGTCCCCATCTTCAGCAGCAAGCGAAGAGTTACAATTCCGATGGTGCCAGTAACAGTCTGATTGTATATCCGTCTCCGCCCTCCCCCGAGTGTCGAATGTCGGCCAGACTGTAAGGATCTATCTGTTCCTCGGCACTGTTCACTCGCTCCCAAAGGACCCTCACAACATCCAGCTTGTCTTAGATCAGTTAAGATCAAATGTTTTGGCCATCTAGTAAGAATGCAGCCAGAACAACTATCAGTGCAGGCGCTAAACATGAACCGATCTGAAGTGAAAGCAAGAGGCCATCCTAGGAAAAGTTGGATTGATGACATTAAAGAGCTTCTACGTCGAAAGGGAATGCAATGACATTAGCCAATACTGTTCAACAAGCATCGGATCGCAAACTGTTACTCCCTATAACGCTTAAGGGTTAAAGTGCAAACCAAGTATGATGTTCAAAATTAATTCAACATCTTCCCCGTGTGGATGCGGATGAGGATCGCCGTGGAGAGGTCCCAGAAACCGCGTTCAGACATTTGGCCATATTTATGGCCTGCCTATATTGCGGCCCCCTGCAAAAGCCAGGGTGGGGCTTCAAATAAAATATTTCATCCTGAAGAAGGCCGTGTGGGTTCCGGGGCCCTTTTATAGGGAACACAAGAATAGACCCACTGCCTACCCAAAAGCATATCGTAAGAGTCAACTAATTGGGAGCTTCCTTCGATGTCGGAGTGCATTTGTCTGAGAGGCAAGGAATATGCAGTCTGCATACAAATGAGTCAGATCTGTAAAATGGATACAAACGCAACACTCAGGTTCTGGAACACGACTGCAGTCCAGAAGTGGACGAACAACCAGAACTTTCCGCCAGAGTTTACAGATGGTGAGCGCGAAGAAGAAGAAGAATTAAACATCTAAAGTGTAAAAACTAGTGTTTTTAAGCGCTGCAAAGGCACAAAGACAAGTTAGTATCGGATCAAAAATAGGCGATTTTTAAAACTGTATGGCTAAAATAAAAACTATAACATGGACATCTAAACAGACTTTTATAAAAACACACATGGGAAGACAACGTCACGGACAGTTTTGTTTATGATGTAGAAACTTATCACTACTTGCTTCAGAGGCAGCTTCTGCTTACAAGTTTATTCACACACAGCCGTTTGTCTCGCGCTCTAAATGTCGTAGATTCGTTTTATGGCTTCCAATATATATCCTGGAGATTGCCGCCGAAGCTACAGCGTTCATTCTTTGTACGGCACTCTCGACAGGTGGTTAGTCGTTCCATATGTGGTAAAATCCCGTACAGTGATGTCAGTCCACTCATGGGAACAAAATGCTATGGGCCGTGTTGTGTGGAAAGGGCATATCAGAAAGGAAATGAGAGTGAAGGAAGAAATCATTGCAAAAAGAATGAGAGCTGAGCGTCTCAAAAGAAACAGTTTAAACATAAATGTTGACAACAATGGTCCTGAAATCCCATGCTATCATTGTGGAAGACTTTTCTTGGCACCGGCGGGTCTTGCTAGTCACACGCGCCATCGAAATGGGCTGTGAGTCTCATGCCTCCTCATAGCTCAATATAACACTATCGTTTGGAAAGACGGAAAGGTGCCAATCAATCCATCGAAGTCAGTCCTCTCGACATTAACCTCTATTATAAATTTTAAAAGAAATCGAACAAGAACTACCCGGTTGTCAAAGAAGAGACAAGCTGTATGCAAGCATGAGTACACCAATTTAAACAATCTACTAGAAATACCAACGCGAGAAAAGCACGATCACCGACGTCAAGTTACACGTCATTTTTGTGGTGGTTGTGATGATGATGACGAGGAGGAGGATGATGTAGTGATGATGCTGATGATGATGGTGACATAAACATACAAATTAGAAATCATTTACAATACTGTCACATAAGCAACAAGTTAACCTCAACCATGATTCTGCCCAACCACTCTGAATCCAGTACCGTTGCACTTAAATTCCCAGGATCACCTAGGTGTCCACGACATGGAAGTGACAGCCATTAAATCCAGCCGTTCCAGCCACAGAGTCCGTAAGTCTCTTGAGAATCACTTTATTTATACTCTGGGGACTTTAACACCCTCTGGACTGAATTGCAAACACGGTTTTTTCTAAACTCCTAGGGGATTGAACTGCCCTCACAGTTTTATCTGAACGCGACCAAGTACTTATACTTCAAAGGTATTGACTGGTAGCAATTTTAGGCTGAATCGGGATAGACCTAGTCAATATACAATATAATCGAGTCCTATACAAGCCCTATGTGCCTTTTAACCGCCCGACCCAATATTTAAACAACAAAAACCTAACGCTTTCCTTCCCTTTGCCTTGAATGTTGAATTAAGAATCGACCACACAGCACTCAGGACACCCCCATAAGCGCTCCGTCCCCATCTTCAGCAGCAAAGCTAAGAGTTAAAATGTTGATGGTACCAGTAACTGTCTGATTGTATATTCGTCTCGTCTTTCTCCTGAGTGTCGGCCAGATCCCCTTGTAAACTCCTCGCTGTGCTATTTTCCTCAGACCGTATTGATCTTTGCCACGTTAATTTTAAAACATACCCATTTAGGTTCTTAAAGCTAGCTTCTTGAGTCGTTTTGCCAAGAAAATAAAACAGCACTTCTAAGATCTCTAGTCGCTGATTGATTTGCGCCAATCTAATCATGCAACTGACAGAACAGAAATAGAAATGACTTTCTCGTTGCGATAATTTCGATAATAGTTATATTTGTTATGCACTGTCTGGTAGCTAAATGAGTTAGCCATGTAATATAAGTATGTGCCGGTATCCCCAATAGTTTGGAAATCCCTGGAAAAAATCTTCATCCTAGAAAAGAGGTTGGTAAAATATTAATAGTATAATGTACTGTTCTTCTCCTCCAGCATTCCGAACCCTTGAGTTTGATTTCTGCAGATAACACCAGCCTCAGTTAATCTCCATGACTGTCTTGTCTTCAGTTATATTTCTAAGTGTTTGTGTGTCTGCCTTTATATTATCTATCCACTGTCTTGTGGTTTGTCCTCGTGGTCACCGTTCAACTCTTTTTGCCTCTCTGTTACCTGCCATCTTGTCTATGTACCACAATCACTGCATGCTTCGCTGCGGAGGATACGAGTGAGGAGTATTGTCTGGATTTTTTTCACCGGGACGCCGGTGTGTTGGGAAATGAACAGACGGACAGACTGGCTGGCTCTGCACAACTTGGTGGAATACTGCTACATGATAGGGCAGACGTGGTTAGTGCCTTGTGGGAGAGCGTGTACAATACGGAGGTGCAGATGGATCACCACAGTCTGGTGTGATTGATGCAGCTGGGGTGACGAAAGGTTCTGGCAGAAGCTCAAGGCTCAGAGGAAAGGCAAGACGGACGTTTAATCAGAAAGCTAATGGCACCATTAGTATCGGAGCTCTTCGCTGGCTGCTGAAGATGGGGACGGAGCGCTTATGGGAATGCCCCGAGTGCTGTGATGTCGGTTCTTGAATCAAATCACATCAAACCACTGCAGACACTATGCAACTAGGAAACATACATGCACTTCGGTAGACACATAGCCTGCTGCAACATACGAAACGAAGTCATACAATCTAGAATACAATCTAAAAACAGTGACCTAAAACATCTGTTGAAATTCAATATTTTTTCTCTGTGAGTTCTGGGGCCCTTATGTCATGGAGATGAGGGGATTGGCGGTGGGAAAGGGGGGGGGGTGTCGAACCAGTGTCTTCAAGAAGAATGTCGTAAAAGGTGATTAATTAGGGGTTAGGGTTTAAGTCTGAGGGCATTTGTCTTACAGGCGAGGAACCAATGCTGCATACAAATAAGACCTTTCTGAAAAATAGAAGCACATCTCTGTTTTGGGAACAAGACTAAAATTCAGAAGGGGACGAACAACCTGAAACCTCCATGTAAGTTTAGAGCTGGTGAACACTAAGAAGAAGAAGAAGAAAATGAAGAAGAAGAAGAGGAAGAAAATAAAGAAGAAGAAGAAGACAATGAAGAAGAAGGTGAGGAAGAAAATTAAGAAGAAGAAAAAGAAAATAAGAAGAAGAAGAAGGAGAAGAAGAAGAAGAAGAAGAAGAAGAAGAAGAAGAAGAAGAAGAAGAAGAAGAAGAAGAAGAAGAAGAAGAAGAAGAAGAAGAAGAAGAAGAAGAAGAAGAAGAAGAAGAAGAAGAAGAAGAAGAGAAGAAAGAAGAAGAAGAAGAAGAAGAAGAAGAAGAAGAAGAAGAAGAAGAAGAAGAAGAAGAAGAAGAAGAAGAAGAAGAGAAGAAGAAGAAGAAGAGAAGAAGAAGAAGAAGAAGAAGAAGAAGAAGAAGAAGAAGAAGAAGAAGAAGAAGAAGAAGAAGAAGAAGAAGAAGAAGAAGAAGAAGAAGAAGAAGAAGAAGAAGAAGAAGAAGAAGAAGAAGAAGAAGAAGAAGAAGAAGAAGAAGAAGAAGAAGAAGAAGAAGAAGAAAGAAGAAGAAAGAAGAAGAAAGAAGAAGAAGAAGAAGAAGAAGAAGAAGAAAAAGATGATGAAGAAGAAAAGAAGAAGAAGAAGAAAAAGAAGGAGAAATGCTGTATCTTGTAATATCATCATCATTATGTAGCAAGTCCTTTTTTAAAACGTCGCTCTAAACACGGGTTGGACGGCCGGCTCCCAGATACCACTGTCGAGACCAACGTTAGGCGCATGGCCAGGAGCTGGGATCGAACCCGGCACCCCGGCATTATGGAGCGTTCGCATCGAATTAGCCACAGAGTCGACAGAACCGTAATAGTAGGGGGAAATCACACACACACACACACACACACACAAAAACGCATAATAAACGAGCTATAGTTAGCTTTAGCATGAGATAATCTAATATAACACAACTACTTACCACTTAGCTTCGTTGCTACCTTTTTCAGGGCCTCCTCGCTCTCCCCCAGCCCTGTTGGGTCTTTCAACATGAAGTTGCTCCCCTTTATATCAGTCTTACTTTGCGTGTAAATCAGTGCACTATTCAGGGCATAACAAAATTGGATCTCCCCTTTGTCCACTTCGTATAGGACTTTCATCTTAGTCCACTTGAACTGTTTCATGATGCCCACGAAACTGAGAGCAAATGTTTCCAAAGTGACGCCCACGCGAGTAAGAGTTGAGTAATCTTGGAGTTTATCCACTCCAAACTTGTGGCTCAGACCTCCGGGAGATAGCACTGGAAGCGACCAATGTGAAGCGTACGACGACACTGCAGAAAGACTGAAGTCGCATACTGGACCGATAAAGCAGTTGACATTTTTGTCGTAATAGAAATCAAACGCAGCGAGTGGACCATCCTTATCGCTGCACTTTGAGTCACCGTAGTAGAAGTTGAAACTGATTCCATGGGTGATAGAACGTTCTTCTAGATACTTCTGTGATAATCCAATAGTGGGAACAAGCTTCCGCATGCTGAAAGAATATCTGTCATTGAAAGGGAGGATAACTCCGATGTTTGCCACAGCTTTGGTATGATTCATTATGTGTGGACTTTCTGTAGAATTACCAGGTGGGTTTGTCAATGCTTGGGATAAGGCACCAACGACACTGATCAACAAAATGAACAGTGATGACGAAGAAATGCTCTCGTGGCAACAGTCCAATAACTGGCTCATTTTCCTATGTCACGAGCATAAAACCAGGAAATATCAAGTTGTGGGAACAATATCATGAATCCAATTCCACTTGTTCGGGAGTGTGATATCAGTTTCTGAATTACAGTTATCTTGCATTCATGACAGCAAATATATACATTAATAAGCTGCACTTTTTAACAGTAATATATGCAACATCTTCTGTTTAAACGAGAACATCAAATTGTGTGAACGATAAAATCGATATAATTGCCGACGTTCTGGATTTTTTAATTTTATTTTATAATTGCAATTGTCTTGTATTTAAGGCAACGAGAATATAAATTGATCCAAATAATTATATGCATGAACTAATCCGTATTAGTTAATTCTGTAGATGGATTGATCCATTTAAGATAACTATGTAAACAAAATGGAAACACCATTTCACAAAACGCAATTTCTAAAAAATATGTAATTTGTATACTTATAAATCACTATGTTATTTTTACAAAATACATAACAGCAATATACTCTATAAGACATATCCGAACGGGAAATTCCCGCCTTCTTGATTCGTCGTTATATTCACCCTTCCACCATTTTGTCATTTACGTTAAAATAAGTGAGGTTAATTACTGAGTGAGTGGGCCTGCGTGTGTGTGTGTTTACATATGTGTGTTTGTATACATGCAATTCCAGCAGTAACGACCTGGCATTAGGTCGCCAAACAGGACTACAAACCAGTAAGGTATAGGGAAGAGTTAGTTTTGAAAAGACGTCTCAATGAACTGTATCACAGAAAGTTTTAAAACCGAACGAAAAGTATAGAAGTGAGCTTCCCAATCTAACAAACAAAACGTGAGAAGGCTATAGAGCCTTCTTCAGCATATATATATATATTATATATATATATATATATATATATATATATATATATATTAGACAACACTACACAAATACACAATATCACTTATCTTCTTATCGTGTGGCAGCCAGGTCGATGTCAAGACGATTGTCTGGCAATAAACTTTAAAATGAACTTTGCTCACAGGTCGAGCCAGTCTTAAATAGATACCAGGTAAAACTCTGGGAAGTAAAGGTGGCCGGTGTGATGTTGACCACATCACCCACCAAGTCCGCATTAGTAAATAAAATATATGTCTAGAACGATATCTCTAATATGGACGAAAGGTGTGGGAAAAGGTCCTTCGCTTGAATCTACTGTTGGAGAAGACTTGAATGGCCAGTAAACATTCAGATAATGGTAGTGCAACTAGGGACATCCTCTGCGTTGAAATACATAATGGTCGAAAATCTAGGATCAGCAACCACTTTATAGCCTTTCCAAATTCAAGCCGTTACACTTTAGCAAATATCTCGAGAACCCCTGTAAGTATCAACGCGAATTCTTGCATGTGTATTCTCATGTCCTCATGATTTTATAATTTACAACTGCACAGACGCTGCTGTTTTCTTACGGCGGCGACTTTCTCTGATATTTGGCTAATAATTTGTGCAACCTAAAAATAAAATATACAGTAATTGGCACCTGCATGAGGACTGGTTGGAAATCATTTTACATGCGCAGCGATGCATGGCGACTATTATGATAGCCTGTAGAACATACAATGAAAAAGTTTCATTAATCTAACAGCTGGTCGGAGGCAGCTACGGAAGATGACCACTCGGGAGTGGAACGCCCATACAACGCTTGCAATTTTATGTTTAAAAAGTTTCCCCATACTAAATTTATTGATGTTACTGTAAGCATTCTGACTGCTTTTAATCGGTGTCTGGTTATTTTTTTTTTCCTTATGCCGCAAACAAGGCAAATTGAAAACTAAGTGTTTGATTACATAAAAATAAATATACTTACAATAAGTAATTTTTAGCATTGTGGTATTTTATTTTATTGTTTATGAGATAGTAAATTAGTACATCGACATTGCCAAAGATATGGGAAGAATCTAATACACCCTTTCAATGTGACATTTAATAATGACGATTCATAAAGAAACAGTAGATCCCCTGGTTTGGTCATCTCGTAAGAATGCAACCAGAACAACTATCAACGCAGGCGCTACACATAAAAAGATAAAATGTGAAACACACACAGCCTATGAGAAGATGGAATGGTGACATTGAAGACCGACTTCATTAACACGGAATGACAACTATTGCTACCCATCAAGCAGTGGATCGCTGTCTGTTTCACCTAATGCCACTTAACTGTTGAAAGGAAAATTGATGATAATGGAGACTGATAATGATGACGATAATGGCCATGATGCATGAATTTCGGGTAGAAAATATTTAATATAAGAAATTCAGTTGTTTATATGGTTATCTTTCTCTCCCCCCCCCCCCCAGAAGGGAATGGCTACCTTTCTTTCCCTAACCCTGTATAGTTATCTTTTCTCCCCCAGCAGTGTTTTGTTATCTTTCTTCCCCCAGCAGTGTATGGTTACCTTTCTTTCCCTTACCCTGTATAGTTATCTTTCTTCCCCCAGCAGTGTATGGTTATCTTTCTTTCCCTAACCCTGTATGGTTGTCTTTCTTCCCCCTACCGTCTATAGTTATCTTCCTTCCCCCAGCAGTGTATGGTTACCTTTCTTTCCCTAACTCTGTATAGTTATCTTTCTTTCCTCAACCGTGTAAAGTTATCTTTCTTCCCCTAGCAGTGTATGGTTACCTTTCTTTCCCCAACCCTGTATTGTTGTCTTTCTTCCCCCTACCGTCTATAGTTATCTTCCTTCCCACAGCAGTGTATGGTTACATTTCTTTCCCTAACTCTGTATAGTTATCTTTCTCCCCCTAGCAGTGTATGGTTATCTTTCTTCCCACAGCAGTGTATGGTTATCTTTCTTTCCCCAACCCTGTATGATTGTCTTTCTTCTCCCTACCGTCTATAGTTATCTTCCTTCCCGCAGCAGTGTATGGTTACCTTTTTTTCCCTAACCCTGTATGGTTGTCTTCCTTCTCCCTACCGTCTATAGTTATCTCCCTTCCCCCAGCAGTGTATGGTTACTTTTCTTTCCCTAACTCTGTATAGTTATCTTTCTTTCCTCAACCGTGTATAGTTATCTTTCTTCCCCTAGCAGTGTATGGTTACCTTTCTTTCCCTAACCCTGTATGGTTGTCTTTCTCACCTCTACCGTCTATATTTATCTTTTTTAACCCCACAGGAGAAAGGATCGACTTCATTGCACCGGGTTAGGATAACTATATTAGTTGGGATCGTCGCCAGAGCTACGGAGTTTGTGTAATGCGCAGGGCTCTTTGCAGAGAAATACCGAGCCTTTTTGGATAAAACCCGGTGCAATAAAGTAGATCCTTTCGACTTTTACTGTAACTTCAGGAAAAGAACCGATAACAACACATGATTAGGTAAAAAAAAAAAAAAGACAACTTAGGAGGAAAATAACCATAAAATTATGCAAAATTATGGGGGGGGGGGGGGAAGGGGGGTCGAATGAACCTTTCAAACGAGTCTCAAAGACCATCGGAAAACAAATATTTATTCAAGTTATAAAGTGAAAAAAAAAAAATTGATTGCATGATCTGGGGTCGCTAAAACATGAGGAACTGAACTAAAGGGTAGCAGCATTAGGAAGGTTGAAAGCCACTGCTCTATTGACTCAAGGCGACAGTGCAATAGAACAGATAGAGCGTCGATACATTGCAAGACTAATTCAACAGTGGGGTTTGGGGGCTGGAGTGGTGTGGAGGTGAAAACAGGGGTCAACTTTTGATTCGGCGTCAACTGGTGCTATTAGCATGCGAGCCCTACGTCGGCTACTGAAGAAGAGGACGGGTCATGTATGGGAATGTCCCGAGTGCAGTGATGTCAGTTCTTGATTGATTGATTGTTTCATGCATTCATTGATTCATTCATATTTTTTCAACTTCATTATAGTACTGAGTGCTGAGCGGAAACAGTTGAGTTACATTCAGTAAAAAATGATACGCAGCCCTCAGTGGTAGTGTAACAGCAGCCAGGCAGTTAGAGAACAATGCGGCAGATAGAGAGGAAAACACATTTGCAAGGCAGACAGACATAAAGACACACAACCAGAGAAATGAAAACAGCTAAGAAAACAGGCTTAGAGCCAGCGGCAGACACTATGCTGAGAAACTACAGTTACAAATACCCCAGAATGACACTGTGTGAGAAGCTACAATAGCGCGGACTGAACTCAGTCAAGGAGAATCTCGGTTAGATCCGAACGTGAGGGCTGGCTCAGTATGGAAGGAAACACAAGTGTTTTAGGTTGTAAGCAGAGATAGAACAGTCTATAGTAAACGGGAGACAACACAAAAGCGAAGACTGGCTGAGTACCAAAAGTGATGATCAATTACTTTCCAGTTGGAATACCATAGCTTCAAAACGTGCCCAGCCAATGTACATACAAAAACTATACCGCTGTTCATGTCATGATGTCTCCGTGTGGGTAGCGGCCTCATCGTGGGGGAAATCAAAAAGGATAGACCCACCATCAAGCATGTTGAAAGTGTCGAAATATTAGGAGTTTTGTTGGAAGCCGGGACGCATCTGTTTGAGAGGCAATGAACTAGTAGTCTGCATAGAAATATGTCAGATATGTAAAACGGATGTGCAGACAAAAATCTGGTTCCGGAACAAGACGAATGTCTAAAAGTGAACTAACAAACAGAACTTTCCGCCCGAGTTTAATGTTTGTGAACGTGAAGAAGATGATGATTTCATGATGTGCAGGGGTATACGGCAAGAGCGCAGAGACCCGGGGTGTGGCATTGCTGGGGGAAGGGGGTGGGGAGTTGATACCTTATGACTCTTGAAAAAAAAATTATACAAAACGATTTGGATTTGGGGTGTGGGGTGTGGGGGGGGGGGGGTAGAATTGGGAATCGACTAAATCCATTGCTGCATATATTACTCGTCGCTATTCGATGATCAGATATTCCCAGTTGATGACCACATGTGTTTGTAGGTCTACTGGCGTTGTCTGCCTCTGATCTGCTCCCATTCAACTCGTTTCTGAACGTAGTGTTATGTTTCA